CATCAAGGCCAACAGGCTGATTGTTGAAGTATCATTGCGCGTATCTAACTCTGAGTTCACTCATACCAATATTGGTAATTTTTAGCATCAATGCGACCTTGGCCTCTCTCTGAAAGACCGAGTCAACAATACTTTAACGAGGAGGATCTTCCTTTATGCATGCAAATGTTGGTTATCTCTTTTTGTTCACCGCCGCCTTAGGAATGTTCTTGTTGTTGTTTGACTAGCTCGCATTATCAAAGCTGAAGTTTGTGAGGTGTTTTTCATATCAGACAAATTCTACTAACCAATGAGCTGCATCAATTTAGTGGACAGGCCTTGGTGCTTTCGACACATGCATTGCATGGCAGCTCAGTTATATCCTCGCTTTGCTTTATTTGTGCGTGCATGTCTGTGATAGAGGAGAAAGCTGACTTTCAGCGAATACCTTGGACCTATGTTAGGTAGGAGCTAAGCTAAAAATTGACTGTGGTCAGACGCTGTACACTGTCGGTCTAAGGGCTCAGGGATCACGTACTAGCATGGCTGGAAGCCCTCTGTGACACAAAATGAATTGGCACAGAGAGGTAGATATGTCACCAGCAGCCACTCTAATGATTGCTGCCTTAGAGTTTTTGACTTCTCTGTACACCTATGTGTATTCTGTCGTTGTGTTATGTCGATTCATATATGTGGCACTCTAAAATAACATTTCTTTATGGTTTAATCTTTAAAATCAAAATTACACACAGCCTTAGCCTAAATAAATATTTTGTCTAGCCAATCTCCTTGCGCGATACAACATAAGAAAATTGGTTATGATTCACACGGACAGGCATGGTAACATACTTTGAAGTTTCCTCTCAGCCTTAATCAACTACTTCAGACGAGGAATTTTTAACAACCAGTATTCTACAAGCTGCTGTCTTAATCCATAGTTTAAAAATCGCTTTTAATCATCTCGCAGTATAACGGCTGCTGCTCTCATTAAGCGTGAAAGAGAGCGGTTGCTTCCAAAGTAATTTAAGGGGGATTATCTATCCAAATGAAGCACACTGAAATAAGAAAATGGTAGGTTTAGTGAATTAAGCGCATTTATTTGACAAACTTTGCTTAAGGAAATAAACCAGTCTTAATGCATTACATTTTAACCATCGGCTTCCGCAGAGCAACTTGGAATCGGGAAAATACGAATGCGCATTCAATTCATAAAACGCTAAGTGGAAATCTATCTGTCACTCTTAATCAGGAACCAAAGCTTATCTATGTGCACCAAAAATTGCTGTCGCTAATTCACTCCAAGAATACCAATGTGTATCATAGTCAGTCTGAACATCCAATTGACGCTATTCATTACACCGATACTACACAATGATATTCCGCAAACAATTACATGACTCGATTAACAACACTGAATATTACACCGTACATTGATATATTTGTTACGTCAATTAAACGCGTATTAGCATAGTTTAGTGTTAAAAACGTCTTAGTTGCCCGGTTGAACTTGCGACATACCGCCTGCTAAATGATGGCTGTCATACCAATACGAGGTTGAAATTCGTTATGTTGGGATGTAAATATATTCTTGCCGCTCGTTTAAGCAATATGAAACTTCACCTTAGCTAGGTGTGCAACGCTAAACCTAGTTCACTGAATTGGCGAGATGTTCCTGGAGATGACAATAGAGATTCGGATGGCGGATGAAAAGTCTTTGGGTGAAATACTTAAAATACCTAGGGCATTTAAACGCAAGTATTCTGTGCGAATACTGATGCAAATTATTTGGCACAGACGGAAGAACCTTTACTTCATCCTACATATTGCATAATGTGAAGGACAAAAGAATTTGCTTTGGATAGGAGCAGACGCTGCTGCAGTACCACGCCCATAGGAATAAATTAATTTCGCAGAGCAGCTACGCTGACCACCACGAAATGTCATCACTATTCACCATATGTAATATAATAACATGAGCTGTACGCACCACTTGATGCAATGAGGATATCTGTGACACTGAGAGGCGAAAATGGCCTGAGTTCATTTAGCATAAGACACCTACATGCATGTATTGATAATACATGTAATCCGTGAATGTTGATAGGATTACGTACCACCGACTTATGAGGGTCTTTCGGCCATTAAGGAATTGAATCGGGCCAAGAAATTGGTTTCCGACACACCAACCTAGCGTTTATTGCAGGTAGCATCATGTAAAACCTTGTAAATGATCAATCGGAGTGGACTGTTCGGTGCGATTTTTCCTTTAGGGAAATACATTTATAATATAGTTCTGCGCCAAACTATTGAGGAGGATTGGGACCCAAGTTTAAGTCTAGTGATGTGTGTATGGATTGCAATAATCAACATTTGATTGGAGCCGTAACATATGTATCTGACCGCTTTCATTGCGGCTACTGAGGTAAAATTAGGGAGTTTGCAGCAACGAAATATTTTCTGAGACCCAAATTTTTGAATTTGTGGCTCATGTAATAGGCTATTTAGGCTAAATTGCTTTGAAGTACAAGGTACTTAAAAGGTAACTTCATCAAGATTCGCAAGGTGCAGCAATTTGAAATAGGAATACACAATGCGTGTGAAAAAACGCAAAATTTAACGAAACGAATTTCGTGGGTTTTAGAGCCTTTGGTACTAACCGATTGCACCCGTGGACCGGACTCTGTGTGAATTCATTAAAAGGTTGAAAATATTTGGGGTCGAAGAACGGTATGAGACATCTAAAATCTTGCAGCCAAATCAAAGTGTGACATATAGAATTTTGGCTAATTAGATATTACGAAAACTCTTTCAGCTTTTCTGTGCATTCTGTTTAACAAAAATGAATCAACAGTTGAACCTATCGAACTTTGCATGCACTCGAAAGAAATAAAATCAGAGTAGAATGAGCGCCCAAAATGCAAGAATGGTTTAGATGAATAAAATGAATCACCATTACGCAAGATTCTCAAGGCCAATAGCACACCCGAACTGAGTTGCCAGCTATGCTTTTGCATGCATTCGTGTGAGATATTTGCTGTCCATGCAAACATAACTGAACCAAAGTAAACCAAATTTAATGTACAAACAAGCATGGACATTAGGACCAGGAAACAACATGGTGACATCACAAGTTCATTCATTTTGTAAGGAAGGAGATACAATGGAAAACGAAGTGCTTTCTTGTTCATTCCTTATAACTATATCGTTCTAACTGGTTATCCACTCAAAAACCCCGCGGTGGTCATCTTTATGATCTCATTGACCAGCTGTTTACACAGCCAGATACATTTTGCCTAGTGACTCTAACGGTACAAGCTGTCCAATTGGATCCATGTAATGTTAGTCCCGTAAATCTGAGCTTGAGTGAGCATGGCGCTGTTGTATGCACCGCGCTTCAGCTGACAATCACGCACACAACAAATCTGCGAATGAGCTGGTTCTTGAACCTAATGTCGCTCTGCTCTCGCTCTGTTCTCGCTCTGGTTAACCTTAGCATTCAAACGCTGAATGTACTTTGTACTCTGCCTTAGATCATGCGTTTCCCTAATTGCAACCATGTCAGACATGAATTAAAGATATGGGTGAATCGAGTTAGTGGATGGTGTGGTCTCACCGTAGTCAGGCAGAAACGCATTTATTTTTCCACCTACTCATGCAAGTGACAAGCGTTTCTTGATTCATAATGAACTGGACGCTAATGTAGCCGGTAACAACGAAAGAGAAGTTGCGTATGGATCTATTAGTTGAGAAGGTATCCCAGAAATCCCGCTCGGAATACCCGTAGTTTACCCGTGCACTTTGCATTTTAGTTCCCTTCATCTACACGAGAATCCCAGTAGCCATTCGTCCCAGTGAGTCAGCAGGCATCTCGCGAATTGCAAATTGTCCACAACAAACTGCTCGTCATTCACACTGTTCGGTTTTCATAATAGCTTAGTTCTACGTTTTCATCACAATGTTTTGTTTCAATGGTTTTAACAATCAGTGGGATTCGAAACATCATATTTATTGGATTTTACTGAGAATCATAATCCTGTTTGGGCCAACTAGCCGTCTTAATGATTTTCGTTCTAATTTTGACTAATTTTATTTAAAACATCCCACTAATCACATCATAGTACGGGGCTTCAGTTTAACTAATAGTAACCTTTTTCGCCCCATACAATATAAATTTTTTCGGTTACACGTAATTATAGCATTTGATATCAGCAACGATGCTCATCTATATGAGTCTCAAGCGCGATGTGTTTAACATCATTAATAGTTAAATTAAGCCTGATTTCGGCTAGTTCATCGTACTCTATGTGCGTTGGCCTCGGTGATAGTCACTGATACTGACTTGACTTAGCATGACTCTTTGACCCTGTGGTAAGACCTACACCCACAAGACTATGGTGCCGAGATGACCTGGATTACGGGATCAAGTCACTTTATTCAGGAGATGTGTGGATGTAAGAATATCACTGAAAACTTGGTTCGGCTGAAAATAGCTAACAAAACGTGTGTTGCCCTTGATCTCATTCATCTGGGTGGATAAAATTAACGCTGAATTTATGGATTTGGTCACAAATCAACAAGCGAAATCCACTTTTGTAAGTTATCTGCCAAACAAAGATGCAAATTCGATTTACTCGTTATTGCTTTTACATGGGCCATATAAAGTCTACGTAAGTAGCTCTTTTATAAGCTGGCTCAGTTAACAATGTCCGATTAGCATCTTTCTAGGTAAGTAATCGATCAAAAATTATGTAAACGGACCGATCAGTTATTTGGGCTTCGGCACCAGCATTTGAAGCGACTAGTAATGATCAACATTTAAACTAAATGCACATCCAAACAAGTTACACCACCTAAAGAATGTTCTTGATTAACAGGTGGTATGACAACAAGTGTCTCGAGCACACATGCATTTCGCACTGCACACGGCATTCTGTAAACCCTTGTGAACGTAAAGGTTGTTGTGATAAAGAATGCATGACGTACAAGCGTTTACAAAGAACAAGCCCAAGTTGAAGCAGGCATCAGTTCGTTAAAATGGTTATTACAACCACAGTACTACCTGGTTCTTGTGATCCATGTAGGTCTTCAACGTCATGCAGAGAGGAAGACGGAAAATGTACAAGGCTATGCGAATAACAAGTGCGGTGTTTCATTTACCAGTAATTAAAATGCGGTTAATGAGACAGAAATCAGTGCGTTAAAATGAAAAGCCTGGAAAATCGTTAGAAAGATATGGACGACAGAGCTTAATGGAGAAGACTGAAGATTAGAGCAACTAATTACGTTCACATGTTCCCTTAGAAACAATTAAGATTTTTAAGGCGAAAAACAACTAGAAATGTCACGTCCTTAGTTGTCGTTTCAATTTTTATATGGCAAGATATCAGTTGGTGTACCATATAAAATGCAATCAGGAATTTGGTTTAACGGTACGCTACGTAGTTGTAAACACACCGATATCTTCGTAGGATGATGCAGCACGTCACTAAACCGTAATCTTGAAGCAAATGACCCTCATCTTCGCATAGATATGGATCATTTAAGTTTAAAAATATGATTTTGATAATTCTTGGAAAATCCTGCAAGTTATATAGTACACCGCTCATCTTGATTCCTTCAGTCAACTCTACCCAAATGACCAACTGAACAACGGGAAAGATAAATAAATTTGTCTTAGGAAACTTTAAAAGGCTCCAGTAGCACAGACAAACTGAAAACGTGTTCCTATCTATAAGTACCACACAATCATATATATAGTAAGACAATGGTATGCGTAAAATAGCTTGACATGTCTCAACGGATGATCTGTGTGATATACCAAATGGCCACTAGTTTGCTACAAGTCACACGGCGCATCATGGGTCCCACAAGAATATCCAAGTCATGGCTTTTTATCCTGGTATTTTAGGGTCTGTTAAGCACATTAATCTTTTGCCTTTTGTCGGTAATCAATGGATGAGCGTTAGGTAATCTAATACCACTAGTGCAATGCATCGAGTGGTTTTGTGCAATGATCCGTTAGTGTCACAATGATAAAAGTTCATGTTTCGGACAGTCTCACTGCGTTTTTTTGCAAATAATTTGGCACTGTGTAATCAACTAGCGGTTGCCGTTTCCATTTTTATATGAGCGTGAGAGAATACTCATTGACAAACTAATCGGTTCATGTGGCGCTAGATTAGCATTGATGAATATTTTCACAAAAGTTCGTCTATGATACATTTTTACGTTTGTATTCAAGGTGTTATACAATTTTGGTACGTTCTGAACTGTCCGATAGTACTTCCATGCGTAGAGCTTCGTTATACAGTGCTAGCAGTCTTAGTCATACCGATAAAGCTTTGCCATTATATCATACTAGTTTGTGATCACTGCCATTGTCTGTCATAAAGTCAACATTGGTAATAAAGCATTCGAACTGCACAGACATCCCACCGCAATGACTGTCCGGACAACAAGTGTGCTAGCATATTAAGGAGAGTTTAAGCTGTTATCCATCGTTTTAAGCGCTTCACTTATTATTGACCTAGCAGAAATAAGAAGCCACATTTTGCTAGAGAGGTGTTGTGGTAGGATTTGTATGCTTTACTGGGTGGGTCATCTGGAACAGTGTTTCATGGTGTTCGAGATGTGCGCATAAGTGGATGTACCTCGAACCCATCGCTTGACGTGTAAAAGACAGATACCACACTGAAATTATTGTCAGAAAAGCGATTTAAACCAAACGATGATGTAATGTCAACTGGGCAATCAAAAAATATTCACTGCGTTGTATCATCTCTTTGTAAGTTTGAGCTTAAGGAACGACGAACGTTATAAATAGTTTTGGTGACAAAACATATTTAAAATATTACTTTTGGTGGAACTGTCTATGTATAGGAGCATTATCAGTTCCGACACAACCCTTTGCCATAAATATAGGTCAGAGGATGACAGTTTCATATGTAAACAATTCCTTAAACACCGCCATCTTTACCAGAGGTTGATCATCATCGCATTTCTACGTATACCCATGCCCCAGAAGCTCAACCTTATTCCACGACAATTTTTGCCAAAGAAACTGTTCCTGCGAGGAGATACTGCATCCCACCTGGAATGTCGTATCCTTTCCTTTACACTCTTCTATTGCAGAGTGCGAAGCGGAATGCAGCACAATCTTTATTGACGCCATATCAGGCAATTAGCTCATTCACGCAGGCAAAAGCTAAGTTTCATGTTTTCATCTCAAGGCGCACCAGCTTTTTCTGATTCCGCTCGCGGCACATGTATGCGCCTATGCCGATTCGTGATGGCATAAGCCTTCATGTTTCACCATATATCCCGGATAATATCCGTCCCATTATGGTCGACTAGATTGCTTCGATATTTCTTGTTTTCATTAATTGTGAGTGCATCTACCTCCTTTGGTTCATTTCTAGGGACGGTCCCAAAAGCCTATCTCACCGGAAAATCAATCGCTCGGTAAATTCGTTCCCCACTCTGCTCGGTGTAGGACCGAGCTATTTTCTCACCCGTGAACCATTCCCGACCTGCTCATTAGGCCACGAGCTCTTTTGCAGCATTTTGCCATTTGCATTCTCTTTGGTCTCCCTCAAGTTTCAGTTCATGGCTTTAAAGTGTTACCTGCCATTCTTGACTTACGCAACACTACAGTATGTCACCCTAAAAAGCTCAACTCAAATCGGTCGTTTCTGCAATGTAACTGACCATTTTAAATAGGCAGTTGTCTTACGCACTAGGACACATATTTCCGTCACTTAGCATCATATCTTCGTCCTACTCCTGGGATATACATTGAATTTATTGCCTTTCATCTGTTGGCGATGTAAAACGACCCTGGTTGCATGACATCAGCGTGAAAAACGCTAACTCCTTCACTTGCTATGTAAATTACTGTTTTAAGCATTTTTTGATAACCCCACCTTACCACTCAAGGGACTTGTAACCTGATGCTGCTTAACACGTATACATTCATCTTTCCTTACTTTTATATCTCTGGCAGAGCGAGAGCTCACCACAACCAGTTTTAGCTACGTTGTTAATAGCGGTGAAAGGCACAGCTGCCATGTGTCGCTGCTTCTCCCCAACTTTTATTGGAAGCCATTTCGTCTGGATCTCTGAAGTGCATCCAAAGTGCATTTTAGTGCTACGAAAAGTTGGGTGCATGGCTCTATTACACGGTGCCTATGAAATCTTCTAAATTGATGATGACATGCTGAACCATTCAACCGTTGCTTGGATCATATATAGCATGTATTGCTCCAGGACCAGTCCATATCCTTTCCGTTGCTCATACTTGAAAAAGCACAGTTCGAGTAAGCACATGCCTTGTTAATATTACAATCTGTGCTCTCGCGGATTATGTCATAATATAGAAGAATCTTATCTACCTTATCAAAGCCTGATAGTCGCTTGTTACTTTGAGATAACTCGAGCATCGAAGGGACGTCAAATCTCAGTTATATTCCTGGTTTGCTGTGCCTCCGATCGCTAGGGTCTTATATGGTGATAAGTCCGCGCCACTTCCTACAGATATTTTATGCCGGTCCGGTATTTGATGCTTGCTGTTTGAAGGTAGTCACTCATATTTCGTGCTAACATCAAGTTCATGTTGCTAAAAGTGCACACCAGATCCTGAAGAATCCGAGAATTACCCTCAACTATCCAAGTTTACCATGCTAGCTGATATGGCTTTTTCAGGTTTTGCTCAAGGCACACGAGCGTCCAATCAGCCGTACCGTATTCACACTTTCAGGATTAAGCTGGAGTCATCTGCTTGGTGCTTGGCTCAATACTTGTCACTTGAGACCGCTGAAATCAAGCTTTGGGGCCGTTGGATTCAGGAGACTTATCGGATGAAGACACAATAATAGGGATTGCCTACAAACGGGACCGGTGGAAGTCTTGCTTGCATAACTGCTTTGATTTCTATGCTCGCTGATAAAAAACTTAAAAATAAATGGAAAATGGATTGAGAGATAGAAAAGTTTTGCATCCATGTTATGCTTAATGCACCTCTCTGTAAATTTCATGGCGCTTGTTGCCAATTTGTCTCCTTATTATCTATAACTGGTACCTACATAAGCGGATATATTTATGTATATTTGCGGTTCAAGCATAAAACATCCTTTGTTAACGAAGTTTGGCTGTAGCGACTGAAACTAGAACTTCTTATCCCGGATAAATTGTATTCCACTCCAGTTAATTTGCTCATTTCTGTCGTTTTGCTGCATATTCCTTGTCAATTTCACGTGCTTACTTTCCCTTTATTCCTGTGTTAGTTATATGATGTCCGCTACGCGCTCGCATTTGATGTAAATGTCAACAAATTGTCTACCTGTCAAAAAACCGCTATCCCAAGTACACCGGCTCTAGGAGACATTTAGTCTTTGCTCAAGGAAGCAAATGAATGGGCAGTTATAAACGAATCGCCGTAAGAGTATGAGGACCCATGCTTATTATCTTTCTCTTCTAGGTAGTCTACCTTGGGTGCAAATGTGGCTTTTCGGTTAACGCTTGTAACATTTTCAGTACAGGAACTAGTTTTTAAAAGATAACTTTCGTTTAAATTATAGTTTCCAAATTTTGTCGTACCGTGTATAACTAACTGAGGTTTTTGAGGCAGTCAAAATGCGCTTGCACGAGGTACATCTCCATAAAACAGTGTACCATTTGACAACACCTCGGGTTCGGATCCGGTACAACTTCGTCGCAACTGATTTTTGTTGTTGAGTTGCAATTATTGGCAACAATTTACACATATTGACCGAGTCATCGACTCTTTGGTAAAGAGAGATGCCCGCCCACAAATTCGGTTTTTCCTGCCATACGATTTCTATTGAGGATTCATAAGACCCGATTTAGTGGACACCAAGCTTGAGCTATAGGTTCCAGTTTGCTATAGTTTCCGTCATCTGCATCAGTGACTACTATTCCGTGCCGTAATCCAACCCACAGAACCATTGCTTTATGGCTGGGGAAAAACCGTGCAATGTCCTGATGGACAAATGCAGTTGCCTACTGATTACGAAAATAGGCATGAAGTAGTTCTCTGGGTCCTCAGGCAATCGAAAATTGACACCAGAAGTTTCATGCTATAAAATTTCAAGCAATATTATCGATGAACCAGATATCTTGTTTCCAAATTGCCCAGTATAAAACAGTGGCTACGTAGGAAGTTATTCCAACGTTATTGGAGTGTACTAACCTACTTCACATTGTAAATCAGTCTAGCAATACCTATGGAAAGTTTAGCAATAAACTGCTTGATACGCAGTGTTCCATTTGCACTAGCTGACCGGCTGTGCTCTCACAAGAACGTACACGCACATGATGGTGAAGTGCCAAATTATTTTTCAGTGGTTACGGTGTTGTACAAGGTATGCTAGCACAATGCATACAATTGATATCCCAAACTCTCTAAGAAGTTGATTTTTGGTATACTAGCGAATCCACATGTGAATTAGCGTGGGGCAAGGTGCGGAGCCGTTGACAAGTCATTCGCAACCACCTTCAACGAGGAGACACAAGAATAATGCTATCCCAATTAACATCATTAAGTGGATACATGGTTAACGAAAGTGACTGACCTGCGTCGTTTGTATCTTCTTGCACACCATCATGGTAAATTACAAGAATACCCTATTGTCTAGTAGCAAGCCATACTTTCCCATCGAGCTAATATTTAATGGCAGTACATATATACAACCTGGAAGATTTACTTTCGGAACTAAAAGTAAGCTACAAACATTCAATAGTTTAAGCAGTGTAATGTAATTCACAAAGTGGACGGCCTTTGGTTCGTTCTCTGAACTGTGAAACCCAAGTGTACATTTGAATGATTTATCAGAATTAGGATTGGTAATGGGAATCAAATGATCGACTGCTGACGCGTTGCTCACTGATCCTCGAAAATGCAGCAACGGAGCTTTATCCTGCTACGCATATTTAAAACTGGGGTTCTGAAGTCTTGGGAGTTAAACCGTGAAAACCTATGCATTTTAAATTCGGTCCCAATGATCTCTATGACCAAGAACCCAGTAGGGAGATCGTTTCGAAGACCTATCACAGGACGGGTAATCTGTAACCTACTTTTAAAAACCCATGGAAGTTTTCAGTGGTTTGTTGTTAGCGCGTGCAACCTGATGCTATTTAATTGCTGCTTTTACTCTGGTTGCTTTGACCGTTCTACTTTTACATGTGTCCCCTTCCATGCGTTAGATTTTATATGGACCCTGAGACCTGTGCTTCTCCAAAACATACTAATAATTGTTTCCGCACCACGGATGTGTGAGTTCCGGCACAGAAATCTAAAACCCCAAGTTGTGAGATATAAACCTAGAAACTCAGGCATTCAGACTTGCTTGCAGTGAATTAAAATTAACGGTTAACTAACATTTACCTCAAAACCTCAACAAATATTTTGTATTTTCCAGTAAACACGCAGAAAACTTCGATATCGCAACCATTTTCGTCATTCTAATTTAATTTAATTGTTAAATGCTTAAAACTAAACCAGCTCACTTTAACATGGAAACTATCAGGAGGAGCACTTATATTCCTGTACTAATACTACCAATCCCAGAAACAGCGACTAACCTTCAAAGATCACCTTATACTTGTTTGGAAATAATGATGCTTACCGTTTTGAGGAGCCTTGCTCGTATCTGTTACAGCAGTTGCGGCAGTGGCTGCGGCCAGCGCTGCCATTGCGCGTAAAGTGGCAAACTCCTTTTGTCCTTTGAAGCCCATTCCAGCCTTTGAAGCCATATTTGTTCCAGGTAATTCCTGCGGTTTGGATCGTTTACGTCTGAATATGCGAATACAAAATTCTGCCAATCGCGCCCAACAAGCAGAAGACTCTCCACTAGCAAATGGTGCTTCCCCAGCGAATTCCATGGACAGGGATGATAAATTGGGTTGGCGCTGTATTGCTGCATCTCCTTGGACAGGACGGCCTTCATCCAGGTCTTGCGAAGGAGCATAGAATGAGTCCACTATGCTCTGATTCAATGGAACCACTACACTGTAATCCTCCACAGATGCATCATATGCCAAAGGAGCCCTGCCTGTCATGCGGAATCTCCCAGGACCAATGCTGGTATAAGCGGCAGACTGGAAATTTTTACTCTGGTATCCTATCGTTGTGACAATGGGAGTGTACACCAAAGGTTGACCGGGAATCGGAATATCTTGCATATTATCCAACGACGGTCTTCGTCTTGCGTGTCTTATGCCATCTGTAACGAAAACCGGAAAGAGGATTGAATTACCCACAGTAAATATGTGCAAAAATATAACACTTCGGTAATTGACGGTGAGCTCCTGTTTATCTATTAAATAGAACAGGGCTTACCTTAATTGCGACACATCAGCATCGCATTCGGATGATATTCGCAATAGAAATATGTAGAAAACTGGAAGGGGAATGCATGGTCCAAGCAGATTACTAAGGAAACGGCAGTACCCAATCTGTGGATGATGGAAACTTCTTCCAATGTAATCAGGATTATATGATGAATGCTTATACCGGAAAATTTGGGTACTACGAAAGACACTTATTGAAATACGTGAGAAATACTGGGTGCGATGGAATATAGTAGACAATGCCACCCGCTGTAGGAGAATTCGCTCAAAATATGTAACGTATATTTTTGTTCACACAATTGCAGCACGCACAAGTCAAGGGTTTTCTGTTTTTACTAAATTTAGGATGAAACAAATATGCGTCATGTAAGCGAATTCGTGAGTAACACATTGCTTGTTTTGTTAACGTTGGCTTGGCTGCTTCGTAGTTGAAAGTGTAGTTTCTAAGGTAAATTTCGCCCCTACGTATTGCTTCATGATTGATATTACTGGATACGAAAGCAGACGAAATATCTACTTGTTCGCTGTCATATCATCCGTGCACTGAACGAATGACCACTAGTTATGAGAAGGGTAGATAAGCGTTATGACAGATCTACAATTTACAATCAGGCTCACAAAAACCTACCAAGATCTTGCTGACATACATGGCTTTTCGTCGTTAGTGTTGCAATCATGCGTAAACGGTAGACGTGGATCACGGCAGCGACGGTAAGTAGAGCATAAGGGACCTCCTAACATTCTAGCATTCCATGCACCCGTCTTTTCGCTTTCGCCGTCAATGTTTCCGCGACAGTCTGTTTTGCGTCTACTACTTTCAGTGTACTTGCAGTGTAGTTCAGAAATTACGTTGAAGCCATTTTACCATTTTCTCACACTTCTGTCTTCTGGCACTTTACTTGTAATTCCCCTTGTGAAGGAAAGTAGCACTGTTCACACAGTGAACCCAAATTTCCACCATTATGCTGGACGACTTCACGCTTGCAAAAGCACTTGCAGCAGTTTAATAGGTCAATAATTACTCAAAGATTTAAAATTTTGCAAAAGCCGCTATTTATGTTTACTTGTATTCATTTATTTAGGAGTTTAATGCAATTACCGGCACCTGTAGTGCACATTAACTTAATGAATTTCCCATATATCGAATAAGCCAGAAGACTTTACCTTCTCACTCTCTGTACCAAAAATTCAAATTTTTGTCCATACAGAATGTAGAAGTCCTTGGATGGTCTCAAAGGATTAACGTGTTATCTGCTCGTAGTCTCTAGCCTTCATGTTGGTGAAGATAAAACCGTAGCTGAACATTGCTGTATCAACCGTTTTTGGAATGAATGCATAAGCAGAATTCTGCTTATGTTGCAACATACATAGCAACGAAGATTAAAAACTTCCACTCCTATGTCACCAAAGTAAAGGAAGGAAAGTTGATATCTGACGTACTCTGGTACCCTCGGCCGTGGCTGGTGGACCGTCCTTTTCGATGGTGTGCGTTGTGTCGAGTTCTTTCATTCTCATGTTTGGTTGATGAATGGTGATGGTCGCGTTCTCTTGGAGCATGTCCTGGTGACCGATCCTGTCCACCAATAGCCGCAGTGATCGGTCTATGAGAGGGGGAGGCGGGATCGCAACTCACTGTGGTAATGGTGGTGTAGCTCCTGGGTATTCCGCGTGTCAAGTATTGGTCCTGTGATGAAGACCGTGAAGTGAGACCTCTTTTCTCTAAGTCGTTATCCTCGTAATCGGCTTCTGCGCTGGCCGCTAGTCGTCTTGCAGTATGCCGCGACCCTGCAAAAGTTAGGTTTTAAGTGAAAACGTGTACTTTTATGCACCCAATAATGTATTTAGTTTCCAACTACCATTTGCATCTAGTTGAGTTAACTAGTACCATTTTGTGATGCATACAAACAGAAGCTAGGACAGATGAATCACAACAGTAATAAATTTGTTCTATGGTCATTCCACATGCAAATACACTTAATTAAAATATATGTAATCCCAACAATACAGTTAATGGAACGCATGCAAATTCCAGCCTTGTTATTACAAAGAGCACATCAGCATTTGTGTTCATTACGGAATTTAGTTGGTCGGTTTTTCGTGTGGCTCAACGAGTTAGTTAACAATTTAAGTCTGCTGCACAGATGGGGTGCCCAGTTCCAAAGAGGCGTCATGTTTTAAGCTGATGAAAAACTATTAACAATGAACCATAAAAATTCCAATAATCGCCGACCACTCCTAAACCGAGCATCAGTGACCAGCTTGGCTACTGCATCAGTATATTTATGTCCTTTTGAAACAAATGAAGTATTTGTGTGTTATACTGTAACGCCAATATGTTTCAGGTCCATCGATTCCTCTGAGACAGTCTAACTGACCAGTCCATCTGAGGGTCCTTCGAGTGTTTTTCGATCCCCAGTTGTTGTCATGACTGTCGCAAGTCAATATGCGTGTCACAAGCATGTTTGCAAAGGGCAGTCATTTTGACATAACTGAACCAAATCGGTTGACTCGTATGTTTCACTCAGGAACTCACACTGGTTTGGAGTATGTGAAGTTTTTGAGCACTGCAGGAATCATATCAGAGTTTTGTTTCAGTTCACTGATTGTCACAAATGGTACGATTGACATTATTCATCTGTTTACTAGCTATCCACCAGTAACTAACTGAAGGCAGTCCATTTCTTGGAGCTATTGACAATCTTAGTTCGCAAAATACGATTGTGATGATTGTTATCGTTTCACATGTAGTTCTCGTTTTGTGGGCCGATTTCGATGCACAATTTCTAGTTCGATCCTGATCAATTTTAACTTAGGAAGCTATATTACTCTGATTAGGCAGGGTGTCGTGGCCGTTTTTAATTTGATATCTTTTTGACGGAACCCCTTCTTTAAATGCTCGGATGAGTTGATGACTATTAAGATGGTCAACTTAAACCTCTATTTCCAGCAGCACTGAACTGCCTATAAGTTTGAACACGTTAAGTATGAACAGCAAAAGCTTTGAAGTAGTGTATGACTGACAGAGACGCGATACATTTGCCGTTATTTAAAGCTATTTCACTCGTTTGTGAAAAGATGTGACGGTATTTAAACAATTCCTGTAGTCATCCTAACCCGGGATGGCTGAATTCAAAGAAGGACACATTATGTGAGCTTAACTTTCATTAACGCTCTGCGGTATAACTAATAGCTGAATGTATCAAACAGCCTTAGCGCAAAAACACTACGTGTCTGAAATTAACGGATCTACTGTCTGCCAACGCTGCACTTCATTACCGACCGGTTTCCTCCTGAGTTGGCCATGCCACTATAGGTGTAGGTAGTAATACTAGGTATTAATACTATACTTTTATACTATACTAGGTAACAATACTATTTTTTGTACGTAGATGACCACCTTGAGTAAACTTTTACTTCTAATGCCACCACACATTGTAGGATCGGTTGTATGGCATCTCAAATTCACAATTTTACACCGTAATATCAACTGTAGCCTTATTACGCTAGTGCACTGGGCCCTACTATATGAAGCTATTAATGCCAGAAAACCTCCTGTCCAAGTACGAAGAGGATCGATTAACAAGGAAAATAGCTTGTCTATGCGCCAGCAGTGAATACACATCCAGGACAATATATCAAGCAGATGTCCGTGCTCCAAGGAATGCAACATGTTGCTTCCAACTTGATAGGAACATTTTCATGAATATAGGTGTAAAATGCCACACGTATAGTAACTAGGACTTATCAACAGCTATCCAGCAGTCTTGTATTTTTTACGGGAGATCGTGCCTTCTTTTCCTAACAGGCCGCCGGAAGCGCCTGCACAATCAGCAACAATCCAAATTAATCAGAAATATGGAAAGTGTTTCGGTGCAATTTGCTAGATACCGGTGAACATTATCTGACCCGAAGTCTGAAGACGTACGCTCATCGAATACACGGAAATGGATTGCTGACTTTACTTTGCTTTTTGTAATTGTCAAGAAAATATTCCTCTCCGCGTACACTGGATGATAACATTTGCGGAACACAATTGTGTGCCTCTTGATCAGCCTGAAGGATGGAACAGTCTCTCGTTCCGTGGAGGAATAAAACCCTTATTCACTTATTTACGATTTGCTCGCGTTAGGAATTCTCTAACCCATTTGCCTATAGCATACGGTCATAAAAACGATTGGTATAATTTGGATGAATATGAGTAGTGTCATTAATGAGGAAAGTCTACCAGAAGCACACCTACACTCATCAAGTTACAATTGTTCTCATATTCACATGTCTACCGACCAATATAAATCGTGTTTATGTATGCATATGACAGAGGAAGCTATCTTCATTACGGCAACAGATACCCCGTTTTGGTTATTCTTGTACAAATTCAAACAACTATCAAAGCATCCCCGCAGTCTGTAGGGCGATGGTAAGTAGTACGCTTGACTCTGAGGAAACTAATCTTGAAAAGGGCTGGCACTCACTATTTCATGTCATCTTATCCGTATGCTTACCGAAGTACAGAGTGAGCTCAAGATTTATTGGTGTACTTGACACACTCAGCATTGCCAAGCGTAGCTTGCAAGCATATTTAAGAGGCCTTGCTTTCCTGAAAACTATAATGCTTTGCACTCTAGTTAGCACAAATCGTCGTTAGGATGCCGTCTACATGTCAAGACAGTCAATGACAACATACTCCTGAATACTTGTTTCACCGGACGTAGTTGTTCCACCAGGATTAATAGCAAAATGGCTCGTCACTCTTCACCGCTACAAATATCTTTTGAAAGATATTCCGCGTTCACTTTGCCTTACGGTGTCTTATTACCTGTCTCGGAGTGTGTGACAATCTAGATCTGCAATGCTGATGGCATTTATATTTTATTATATCTGAGTGCCTTCCCTCCAACTGATGATAAACTAGTCTGGCTAGAATAGCAGTACCAAGCGTAGGAACGCAAAATTTTCATCCCATAAGGATCGTCATTAAAACTGCCCCATGCTTTTCCTTTGCTGCTCAACAATTATATAGTTACCCTTCCCCATTATCATTGAAATGTCTGGCCGCTATGTTTCACAATGATAGACCCTCGCCACTTCATGTAGCATTATCAGGTTATGGGGAAGTTGTCCTTGTCTCTAATGCCTTTAGCTCCCGCTGTTTGCTTTCGTGCCTTATTCCCGTGTAGATTCAATTCTCCCGGTGATATTTCCGCGTATACCGAATGAAAAAATTACAATATACATAATAGTTCACCAAAACATTTTATTCCGTGCGGCGGCCCTTCAGGACCAGCTTTGTTGACTGGATTCAAAACCTTCACTCATGCTATTTACATTCGCCATAACGCAATGTTCTAATATGCTTCTGCGTCGTTTACCAGAAGACGGTGCAAAGGAAAATGACGTGTGTACATGGTCTTGTGGTTGGTCCATGATAAATAATTCTGGGTCATATTTCGATAGATCACATGTGTTTTATTAAAGAAAAACTGGCAGATCTGTTCATAATCGTGGCTTCCGTTCAGTTGTTTGAGCCGCTTCTTTGGCTATTATTTACATGCCATTCTGTGAATGCACGCGCTAGAGTCTAATTTTCATACCTTCTGGGAGCACAAAAGCAATTCTCGACTCAATGTGAGAAGTAAAATAAACCATTCGATCCTTTATGAATTTCACAAGTTGAAATAAATTAAACCTGTATGCGAGCTAGATGGAATTTGAACTACACGATCATCTTAAGCGCCCATGAATCTTGCTACTTTGTTAGGATGAAGAGTGTGTTTGACTTCACGCTATCTTTAAACACAGAGAAAAGCCAGAGGAGCTGTATTTGCTGGGAAACTGTCGCAACTGATTGATGTCAATATCCAGGTTTTATTAATGTAGCATCGTAGCAAAGTACGCGAAATATCGCAAAACAAATTAAATGACTTTTGACCAAATAATTCCAGTAACTTCCTGCCGAGCTTCTGCATTTCTATCCACCTTTTTTACAAAATGTTGGAGTGTGAGCAAACGTCTATGTGTTAGTTCCAAACAACCACCTCGTTTTTGTCCGCAGTTAATTACCACACGCGAAGAAATCATGGATTTTAGTTAAAGTTACCAGCAAAAACCTTTCTTACTTTTATATATGCTTATCTTCAACGGCAAGGCGAAAGCAATATTTACCAATTGTTGCTTCTAGTAAGCACAACGAAAAAATACATGGCAAACTTTCCGTTGACTTTGCACTCACCGAGAGATGGAACGATGGTGCATGATTACAATTACGTCACCAAATAGAACTAGCATGCACTTGATCAACGAACACACCAACGACACACAACTGAAGGTATGGTAGCAGGCTTCAGGCGCATAAACCCCTTTTCAGCTACGTAAACTTGTCTACCACAAATGTCATCCGCCAAAACGAATACACCTCACAGCGTGCAGTCGTGTCACACATGCAATTAGAGAAACAGATTTGTATGTATTAAAGCTCTACCGAACAAAAAGGAACCACAGAGAAATCAGATGCGGTACGTAAATCCTAACATCCTGCGTGATTAGTAACTGTGCACTATATCCACATAACACGAAAGAAACTGCTAATATGTTCCTTGTTCCAAAATGCTTCCAACTTTACTGCTGTTTTTGTTGTTCCACATGAATTGTACAGCAATGACTACACTCATTACAATATACGATAAATCAACTGTATTTCTCTGCACATCTGGAGTAGCTACCTCGCCGATTGAGTTCGGCAAATATTGGATTTCGGAACCCGGTACCAAACGGTTGATACATAACGAACCAATCACGATCTTGCTCGTCTCCGTGATCTATGAAGCGAACATGTTCTTTCAAACCTAACGTTTTTGGGCAAATTGTGTCCATTGTGTAGCTACCATCAGAATAACTGTAAGAGTCCCGACTTAGTGTTTGACTTTTACGTTGAATTAGCTGTGTCATCACGTCTTTGGTCAGGTAGTTTCAGAACATATGGTCAGTTACATTGTCCGTTAGTTCGCGTTCATTGAAACCGGGAGGATGAAGGAATAACAGATCAGAGTCAAATAAGAAGGCATGCGAGCCAAAAAGTAACGATCATTCGGATGCGGGAAGAGTGGATGCAAAAAGTGGGGAAAGGAGATATAGAAGCAGTTACAAATTTGTAAAGTTAAGCTGCTATTATAAAACATGTGGGAATAATGATTTCCCTTTGTTTGGGTTTATGACAGAGACAATAGTTAAAGTGAGCTTAGTTTTACTCCCGATAACAAGACACCGGTAAAAAATCTGCGGCATATTTGGTGATGAATCTGTCTGCAACAACACAGTACGGCATACGAATAAATTGGATTCCTAGATGATAGTCGCTTTGTATAAACAAAATTTGATATGTGAAAGCTGAAAGGAAAGCTACTGAGCCCAATTAGTCTCACATCAATTCGGTACCACAACACGTAGTTTGATCATTTCAGTCCGATATCTAGATCTAAGAATATCCATACAGTTTAATCTGCCTTAACTCACCCCAGTGTGTTTACTACCTTACAAAACTCGGCTAACACAGATGCAGCTTTGAAGATTCGTATGCAGCTAGTGCTCTATTAACCCTAGCTTTCTCTTTGCTTTCCCATATGAGTAAAATCTTCTCCAAGCACAGATAACTTGCTCTGTGTTACTCTTAATTATTTGGCACAAGTGTGTGCTACATTCTGAAAATTTTCCTGATAGTCCAAATTTTTTCATGTGCTCTTACCTTTTTTGCCCCTTCAACGAAACCGCCGCCTCCAGGGTATCCCCGATAGGCACCGAACGAAAACTGAGTATTTTCGTTTACTGATAGAAAACGACAGTTAAATCTCCAAATGGCATTCATAAAAGTGTCTATTGCATCTCTGCGTAACCCACAAAAATTGGCAGCCTTGTGTGCGTGAGAATGTTACGATTGTAAATACTCTCCATCCCTTTGGTTTTTTGGTAGGATGAGAAGAATGCACTATTATTATTAGTAGTATAACTCAGGGCATTGACAAACTTTCACACCTTAGGTTGTACTAAGCCGAAGTACATGAACTTGAGATATTGCGTATGGAATGAGTCTCTGCTATGGGGTTATCTCGCTAGGTGAAGCGGATATGGCCTGTAAAACGGCCGTACACTGTTTAATATCTAAATAATAAACTTATACGTATAAAATAAACTATTCTTAGACTAAGAGCTAAATCAACATAAAAGGCAAAAGGTTTTAGCCAATCTGCGCTTTGCTCAGTTTTATCAACCTGTGGATCCGGAAGCATGGAATGGCAGTTGAAATTTTATCGCTTCCCGGAAAACAACGGACTCGGTTGTGATAAACTTAGAGAAAACTTAGAGAAAAGACAGTCGTGTTTTCATGATTGTCATAGAAATCATATTACTTTGGACCTTAACTAATAAATTTTGCAGCACATAAAGTCGGTAAGACAAAGGAGTGAATTGTAACAGATAACGGAAATGCTAATTGCCTTCCAAACCTTGAAAAAACCTGCATTGGACAGTTGCTTATGTCCAGCCTGAAAACTAAGCAACATCGTGGGGTTTCGCTCCATCCACAATGCTTAAGCAACCTGCTTAGGTCAATACAACATCATGGATTGACGTGCCATGTGCTAACGCCAAATTAGATAAAATGTCTGACAGCCTATCGCCCCGCATGGTAACGACTAACTGTTGTACACAGTGTTTAGTTTTTAGTATGCTTCTAATCCATAACAGCCGTTTTCTATACTCAAAGCACGTTGTGTTGTGTGTAGTGATAACGAGAACCTCATTGTAGAAACAGGACAAGACCTGGAAGTGTTGCGGATGTTTGCATACCTCTTTGTCCCATTAAGCTATAGTGGGTGGTTAAAGGTAAAATAACTGTCTAGTGGCCCTGCAATTTAGGTGTTGGAAACAGAATGGTGTCCAATTCTGTGAAACCAATTCATTCCCATCCCCGCTGCTTTCCGGACAGGCATTTGAGAGAAAGCCTTTTCGTGAGGACGCTATTCGTTCTTCTGTCGAGTACTAGGCGTATTGGCAGTACCCAAGCTCAACCATGATTATTTCCTCAAAGTTCAACCAAATGCTGAATCGGCGGTCGTTCAGCTTAAAATGCAGGTCCTAATCTGCTGCATAGAGTAGGGCGGAGAAGCGAAACCTTGTTATTTCTGGTGCCTCCCTACTTTCCTTTCCACCTGTTCCTCTTACTCCCCTCCGCACTTCAATCACAAAATTTCATCCATACTTCCAAAATTGATTGACAGCAACCGAAGTGCAAACGCAGTTCCAAAATCTGCAGCCAACTTCCCGCAACCGCACCTGAAGCCAATATGCAACTGTTCATTATAATCGAAAAATTGTTCCTCAAGAAAATTTTATCAGCAAACTTAACACAAGAGTGCGCACGATTTAATTCCGGAAACATTTATTTGCATATTTTCAAGTGCGTACTACCGACGTGGGAATGTATAGCATAATGAAAGGAGCGCTGTTAAAATGGCAAATTGACCAAACTGTGCAAATCTACATTCATGTCACTGTCATCCGCGCCCGGCCTGCTACCACGGCAACGTCAGGGTCACAAATGCGTCTTTCTGCACACACAGAATTGGGCCGAGTTGTTTGATAGCCACGGCCTCAGCACATGGTAAAGTTAGGGGTTCATTGATGCATAGATAACACGGAACGCACGCACGGGGTCTACACAGTGATTGTCAGCCAGCAGCTGGCGGGCGATTGATGAAGCTGGTTGTTTGTATGGAACTTCATTTCTCTTTCTTGGCTGCACATTCAAGGTGGTGGATGTGGCCAACGTGTTTACTCACCCACGTCGGTATGTGCTCCGCGACCCTCACCCTCAAGTGTCGTCCTGTCATGCCCACGTATTCGGCCTTGCAAATACATGTAAATTGGCAAAGGATGTATGAACGGCTGGACAGTGACAGCGGAGGTTTAACCGATGGAGTAGGAGTACGATTCATTGTGTAGATGAGTACTGGTCCCGCCGCAGGGTATACGCGCGCCACTGCGGATTGCAATCGGCGTTGAAAAACCTGGCATACGTCGTCGCCCTTGAATGGCAATTGCAGGGTTGCCTTCATCTTTGGTATCGTGGGTACACATGTTTTCTCTTTCTCAGCACTAACCTGAGCGATGAAAGACGGTGGGTACCCGTTGTCTACGAGGGTGCTGGTTATCAACCGCACCTCTTGTTCCAGCGTGTCAGCAGTGCATATTTTTCTAGCTCTGTTAAACAAAGTCTTCACTATACCTTGTTTTTACCGCTTGGGGACAAAACTGTAGAATTCCAAATACTGTCCCTTCCACGTTGTCTTGCGGTAAACTGATCTGCGTACTGAACCGTCACTTCTACGCTCTATCAGGATATACAGAAACGACAGCGTATCATGTTGTTCGTGCTCCGTTGTCACTCTAATATATCGGTGTAAGCTATTCAAATTAGTAACCAGTTGGGCTAAATGCTACTCGCTGTTGCAGATTAACAAAATGTCGTCCACATATCTACGGAACAACACTGTTTCATCGATCTCGTCCCTGGCTTGATTTTCAAGATGGGCAACGAAAATGTCTGCTACTACCGGTCCCAGTGGACTGCCCATTGCAACACCATCCACTTGGCGATAGCCTTGTTCTTGAAAATAGAACTTGATATTTGATGTACATAACAGAAGAAGTCGTTCTAATTCCGAGACTGGTATGCCTATTTCTACTAGGTTCTCGACCACATGATTACAGATAATCTGAATCGTCTCTGTTACAGAAACATTTGTATATAGTGAGATGATATCGAGGCTGGCTATGATTTTTTCTCGCAATTCCATACCGTCCAGAACTTCCACTAACTCAAACGTATCTTTTAGACTATGTTTAACCATTTATCGCTTAACTGGCACCAACAGTGTTACTAGCCACTTAGCTAGCTTTTGTTGTGGGAAATCGTTCATGGACATAATAGGTCTCAAAGGGACGTCCACCTTGTGCAATTTTGGTAACGCATAAAGCTGTGTTGTCTGCGTACCCCTGGGTCTTAAGGATTTTGTGGTCGCAGCATTTATGAGATTTCCTTCTAACAACGTTTGCAGTTCGACATTTATTCTTTTCTCCAAATTCATTGGGTTGTTAGGCGTGCCGTCTGGTTCGAATTTAGTACGGTCGCTTAGTACTGTCATCATCTTTTCTACATAAGTCGATTGGTCTAACACTACAGCACCCGAACCTTTGGCTGGGTGAAGAACAACCACCTTTTCCTCTGATCTCAGTTGTTTTAAGACCTCTAAATGTTTAGCTTCGAGGGGAGATCTTTAACCAGAGGTGGAGATTCGATACTGGTGTTCAAGATCCATGAATTTTGCTTTAAGCCACTGTTCGTTATCTTTGGAGCTTGGCGTAAGTCCGACAAGTTGTTTGTAAAATACCTCAATTTGAGCTTGGGTTCCCATGCTGTTAGACTTTCCAGGTGGAGCACAAATTTTCCACCCACATGATAGAGCCTCTAGTTGTAGGGGAGTTAATGGCACAGAGGAGGGATTGGTAACATACTTTGATGGTTCAAACGGTAAACTATACTCAAACAGTTTGTGATTCAGTGACTCAGCAAAACGCCCCGTCCAGATACTCTTAGTTTAACGTAACGAATTCCGACAGAAGTTAACAAATTTGAAGTAACATACCTAAGTTTATCTGTCGATTTCTGATTGTTTGGTAAAGCACATCTCGCGGTAATGTTTGAGCTTTTCTGTAGTCTCCTCAAGAAATCACCTGGTCATTCGTCTTAAATTCCTAGCGTTCGATCGCAGTTTCTGCGCTCGCAGACCCTTGCAAAAAGCAGCGGGGAAACGGTTTAAATTTAAACATTGTCCTAGGAACTCTTTCGCACGGACAGTTTGGCAATTTTGTATATCAACTTGACAAGACCTTCCAGATG